ACTCTCTAAGCCCACCCCTAGTGATGTGCTTCCTCCAGGATAGCCACACCTTCTAAAACCTCCCAAAACAGTGCCATCATCTGGGGACAAAATGTCCAAATACCTGGAGCCTATGGGGGACATTTTCATTCAAACCATCACACATGGGTTTTGCTCTGGATGGGCATCAGTTTTGTGTGTGTTCTTCTTTACATGAGGGTGTTTTCAAAGCATGCATGGTTAGAATCACACTTTTGAGGAAGAGTACTCATAAAATAATAATTTCATATTGTTAGCCAACTTTTTAGTATATCTACCTAAATTATAAAAATAAATTTTAGAGGCTGGGTGTGGTGGCACATACATTTAATCCCAGTACTTGGGAGGCAGAGGCAGGTGGCTCTCTGTGAGTTCAAGCTTAGCCTGATCTACATAGTGAATTCCAGGCCAGCTGGGGCTACAGGGAGACCCTTAGGAGGCTGGAGAGATGGCTCAGCAATTAAGAGATTAAGCAATTAAGAACCTGGGTTTGGTTTGGTTCCCAGCACCCACATGGTGGCTAACAACCACCCTTAACTCCAGTTCCATGGGATCTGGAGACCCTCTTCTGGTCTGCAGGTATTGTACAACACAGGTGCACTTGCATACCTGCAGGCCAAACATTTCATCACATAAAATAAAAATAAATAAATGACCTTTTTTTTTTGAGACAGTCTCCCTGTAGCCCCAGCTGTCCTGGAACTCGCTATGTAGACCAGGCTGGTCTTGAACTCACAGAGATCCGCCTGCCTCAGCCTCCTGAGTGCTGGAACTAAAGGCGTGTGCCACCATATCCAACTAATAAATGACATTTGAAAAAAAAAATTTTTAACCCTTTGTTGGTAGTCAATTTGCTTTCAGATACTCACTTTGAGTATTTTGTCTTTTATACAGTGAGTATTGTATTTTTCAAAATTGGTTCCTTAATATTGTCTCTTTAAAATGTATGTTTACATACATTCATAATTTTATTATACTTTTTATGTCAAAGTAACAACTTCATAAAGAAGAAAACTCAGGAGCCTTGAAATGAGACCTTATAATGTCACGTACCCAGGGGCCACACAGTCACCTTGAAGCCAAGACAATGGAAAATGGTGTCTGCCACAGATTTAGTCAATGGTGGCCTTGTGTTAGATTTATTTGTTCCCACAGTGCTTACTGAGAGCTTTTCTTTCGTGGTATCTTACAATATTAATAACACTTTTTTCACCCCTCTGGGTTAAAGAGGTGACATGAATGAATAATGACTTATCATTAATATGTGGCATAGAAGTTAGACTTCTCAAAATATGATAGTGATGTTTTAAAGCTTAAAAATTCTGAATGGCCACACCTTCAATGTGAATTGAATTGGCCTTTTTCCCCAGAGCATTGATAGTATTTAAGGAAAAGTCTTTATTTAAAGATGTTATTTTAAATTAGGTATGAGGGTTTGTGCGTAGTACCTTCTGAGCCAAAAGAAGGCATCAGGTCTCCTGGATCTGGTGTTACAGGTGGCTATGAGCCCCCTAACCCGGGTGCTAAGAACCAAACTTGGATCTTCTGGAACAACAGCAAATGCTCTTAACTACTGAACCATCTCTCTAGCCCCCCCCCCCAAATCTTTATTTTAAAAAGACATATCTCCATACATTATACAGGAAAACCCAAAATTCACACGTGCTTTTAAGGTCAAAAGTCAGGCAGTAAATGCAGTGTCTGGGGCTAGCTAGCCTGTGGACACAGGTCTGGAGCTAAGAACATGCTCATAGCCTCTACCTTCTAGGAGATATTTCAGAATTTTGGGCCATATTCGAAGGTCAGCTCCCTAGTCTCTTCTTCAGCTGTGTCTTAGCTGTCAAAGCTTTCAGAAAGGAAATACTCCCCACTGCATTCCAAGCAGGCTTTGGGATGACCCTTAGAGAAGAGGGTTCACTCCAGGCGGGGAAGAGCTGAATGGAGCCATCCAAGCATTCCTGATGTGAGCCGGGACCATGTCTGGCTGGGGTCTGGGTGCCATGCTCTGGACTCAGGCCTTCCCTGCCCTTTTTGCTGTCCTGTGCTGTGGTCAGGTGGTGAATACGTCTTGACACCCCAGGTCATTGCTAAGGCATTTCATGGGAGAGTGATTAATCTGTAACTTATTCTCTGCAGAGACCAATTTCGTTTTCTTGCCCCTTTTTTTATCTGCTGTCAGCAGTTCTGTCAATATCCCTTTGTGACCCAGCGCTGTGGTATTTAATACCGAAACCTTCCCATCGATTTCAGCCTCCTCGCACTAGCTTCTCCTCTTTTATTGTTTGAGGATATTGCCTTCTGTGGTGAATCTAATCTTATGCTCACTGCATCATTACCTTTTGCAATTAAATTGGAGATCCTTTGCCATTTATAATCATTAGAGAAACCCGAGGGAGGCTTGGAGTGGGAGGGTCCATGGGGTGCATGGTTGCCAATGAAGTCATGGGGGACAGCCTCCTGTGTCCACCTGTGCTTATTCCTCTTCACATCTTGCCACTTTCACCTCTGTGTGTCAGGGGGCAGAGCAAAGATCTGCTTCTGCCTCTGTCTGTGTCCACACTGGAGTTTCTCAGGGTGAGGGTTTGGAGTATTGCCAGCCAGTTAGCCAGGCTGGCTGATGGCTCTCACATACTGCAGCGCTCTTGTGAACGAGCAAAACTTGTCTTAGACACAGTGCTGCCACAAGTTCTTAACCAGATGTTCAATGGGAGACGTTCCCTTGACCTTTTAAGTGCTCCCAGAATGTAGATATAGTTTGGAAATCTCTTTCCCATCTTGTCACTTGTCTCTTCATCTTTTTGGTGTGGTCTTTCAGAAAGCAAATGCTTTTCTTTCTTTTCTTTTTTGGCGGTGAGTGACAGGGTGGGTGGGGTTGTGGAGTTCCTTTGTAATATTTTATTTATTATTTATTTTGCGTGTATAGGTGTATTGTCAGAATGTAGGTAGGCGTACCTGTGTCCTGCAATGCCCGAGAAGGTCAGAAGAGGGCATCAGATCCCCTGGAACCTAGAGTTAAGGACAGACCCTAGAACTAGAGTTAAGGAGCGTTGTTAGCTGCCATGTGGGTGCTGGGAATTGAACCCGGGTCCTCTGCAAGAATAGCTAGTGCTCTTAACTGCTGAGCCATCTCTCCAGGCCCCTTTGTTTTTTGAGACAGGTTCTCCCTGTCACCCCACCTGACCTGGAACTTCCTATGTAGACTAGGCTGTCCTTGGTCTCACAGAGATCCACTTGCCTTTGCCTCAGGACTACTGAGAATTAAAGGTGTGTACTACCATGCCTGGCTGCTTTTTGTTTTTTTGTTAGCATATAAATTTGTTTTATTATAGACTTTTTCTTTTCTTTTTTTTTTGTTGTTTTTGAGACAGGGTTTCCCTGTAGTCCTAGCTGGCCTGGAACTCACCGTGTAGCTCAGGCCAGTCTTGAACTCTCAGAGATCCTCTGCCTCTGGATTCCTGGGATCAAAGGTGTGTGCCACCATGCCCAGCCCCATTATAGACTTTTTCAAACAAACTTTGTTTTGTTGGTTTTCCTCCTGCTCCACTTCTTCCCCATTCTCTCACCCACCCCCTGTACCTTCCCACACAAAATTTTTTCACTAAAAAAAATTAAGCTAGGCCTTCTGGCTAAAGCTTGTAATTCCAGCTGAGACTGGAGGATTACAAATTCAAGGCCTTCTTGACTACAGAGTGCATTCAAGGTCAGAATAGGCAACTTAGTGAGGCTCTGTTTTGAAATTAAAAGTTAAAAGAAGGCTAGGGATACAACTCAGTAGTAGGGTGCCTGCCTGGCCTGCCCAAGACCCTGTATTCCAGCACAGCAGCCCCAGCCAGCACTTCAGTATTGCACTTCTGCACTTCAGTGCAAGCCAGCGCAGAGCATCAGCAGCCCTCAAAGCGGCAAGGGCTTGCTTGGTGGGCCTTCTGTGGTTTGGACAGATGCAGTGATGGGGATGCACACTGTGGTGCCCTGCAGGGGATGCCCCTGTCCCGTGTAGCCCCCCCACCGCCCCATTCTCCCTCCCTCCACTCCCCTCTTGCTCCCCTGGCAACCACTGATTTCACTGCTCAGTTTTGTCTTTTCCAGAATGTCAGAGTTGGGATCTGGCCTGAGTGGTCTTCAGATCAGCTTCTCTCATTAGCACACAAAGGTCCCGGGGTCCTCTCATGGTGGGAGTGTTCCTTCTTACTCCCGAGTATTGCTCCATTGGTGCAGGTTTCTGGTCCCACGATTAGCATTTCCTGGGACTGTCTGTGGCTTTAGCCTGAGAGCAATGTTGAGCCTAGGATTCTACAGGCTTTCTCATTCTGTTTTTCCTAGGTGCCTCTGGGTTGTGCTTTACATTGAGGTCCATGAGCCATTTGAGTCTGTCTGTCTCTACACAC